CTCAATACCCTTCGCTAGAGTTAATCACAACAAATATATGGTCACCGATAAGACCGCATACATCGGAACGTCCAACTGGTCGGCCGACTATTTCGTAAACACTGGTGGAGTGGGGTTTGCCATCACTCCCAAGAATAACACATCCGCTGAACACAATCTAAGAGATGATTTGCAATCTATATTCCAAAGGGACTGGGATTCCAGTTATGCTAAATATATTTAATTAAACTCTAAATTAAACTGAACATTGTTACACATTGTAATCAATTACTAATCATTATAATTTACTGTATATCACTAATAATTGATGATATTGATGAAATCACTTATTAATAATTGATGTGATTATTACCAAATTGGTCAATTCAGTAGTTGTTTGAATTTAAAATAAAACTCATTGCAAAACATATTTTCTAACAGCAGAAAACAACTGATATTCCAGACAATATTTATATGAATAACCGATCAGTCATGCAATTGACTTCATAGAATCACAACCACATCAATTTACTGGTCCATCAAATAAGTCCATTACATCATAATAATATTGTCTTATGTATATTATATAGAATGTACATGATTAATAATCATTGATTATTTAGCAAATTTAAGCTAAAGGTAAGTCAATTTTTCATAGAAATTTTATTATGTCATTATTACAAAACAAGGTAATAAATATAGTGAATTAAAATATGGTATAAAATTGAGTTCAATTTACAATTTATTGTACTGTATTTGGCAAACGATAAAAAGGGATTACCGGTACTATAACTCTATACAGATATGCTTTTATAAGTGTATATAAATATATTTATTATTAAATGATTTTATTCCTAATTTGTTGCCAAACTTCAATTACTTTTGGTTTGTGTTGTGAAATAACATTTAGTCCATTGGTTGCGTACCAAATGCCAAACAAAGTGCCGGCCAGATGTGCACCATGGTCAAACAATTTCCAGCCTAATACTAGGCCAGCGCTATCCATGAGAATAATGCCTTTCAATGCCATTCCCGCAGAAATGGTAAAAAATGGCAGAAATATGATAACTAATTCCAATTCAGGTCTTGCTATACAACACGACGAGAGGATCCCTAGAATGGCTCCGGACTTGACATTCAATCAAATTTTAAAAACAATTTTCTCATATAATTTCTATAATCACTTACAGCTCCCAAAGAGGCGGCACTTTTTTTAGTCAATACTTTTGCCAAATAACTCCCGAAAGAAGAGATTACACCTGAATTGGCATTACATTCACAATTACTATCACTTAAAAAGCAAAATAATAGTTAGAAGATATAGTGATGGCAAACATACCTGAGCTTAGATACAAAGCGATGAACTGTTCGGTTCCGAAGGTATTGACACCGATTTGAGTGAATGAATGCAAAACTATTAAATTGAATATCAAATGAGTTGGAGAGTAGTGACTGAAAGTGGACCAAAGCATTGGCCAACATTTTAATCCATCTATAATACAATTAATTGGTATAAATTCAATGCAAATTCAATGACACTCTCAGGACATACTGCTTGTGGTATAAGTCATAAAGTGTTTGGACATAAAGTGCTGAAGTCTTGGTATTTTCCAACCAATGAATACCAATATATTGATGGCAGCGATCGATGAAAATACTTTAAATCCAGTGGTTCTTGAGTTCCACCACTGATTCAACTGATTTTAAAAACAATTGCTTACATAAGAGTCACGAATGATAACATTGTGTATTGTCTTAATTACTTCATTCCTCAGAGTTCCAGCCTTTCTGTTACCGTAATTGTCTTGAAATGAATGCAAATCTCGTTTCCATTTACTGAATGGCAGTCTTGAGAGCGAGTTCTCATAATTGTAGACAATAGACACCGTATATACAGTTCCGCTAAACTAATGAAACACTTCATGTCATTCATAATCATTCAATTAATTGATCCCAAGATTACCCCAACTGTGAAGAGAAATGGTTTGACCAATGATTTAATGTTTGGATTGTCGACCAAATTATCATTTCTTGTCATCACTTTCTTCGTGAAAGTCCTTCCGATGTCTTTTAATGCAATGCCATTTGTATTTACTTTTAAGCATTTGTTTGCATTTAAAAGCCATTGATTTGATCTAAACATCGAAATCATGGCTTAATTTCAAACTAAAACTCAACACAAAAATTATATTTGATTTTCAAAATTTTGATTTAAATCTCTTTTAAATAACAAAATCATATGATTTTTGTTGAAAACTTTAAACAGAATTAACGTAAACTTAAACCACTTTTCAATGCATTGCAATACATGTGAAATGATTGCATAATATATGACATTATTTATGGTTAGTGTGAATAAAGTTTACATTGAAATCAGTGTTATTTTGCGATTAGTCTATGAATAAGACGACAATTTTTGGTACAAAATTAAACACAATTTATATCTCAATTAATGTTTGAATTTATTAATAGTTTAGAAAATTAACTCAAAATAATTATCTGATAATTATATTGAAGATTATAATCACTCAATATATTCAACCATTTCTTAACCATTAGTCAGAAATATTGTGATTTCAATGAAATGCTATGTTTTGAGAGATAACTGAATTGAAAGTTTGATTTAGTTATTAATTGTTGGAAAATATGTACAGAATTAAGGTTTGTTTGAATCAAATGTATATTAATGTGTCTTAAAGTGTATTAATTGAATGTCTATTCTTCAGAACGTATTGATGGGTGTCTTGAATGGCATAAAGGATGCAATGCTCGGACTCTTTGCCGTCACAAGAGTTATGTCCGAAGAGAGAAACACTAGAAATGATAATAATATTGCAAAACGACTCTTTGAATGCATTGTCTTAAATGGATTTGTCTTTTTGGTCAGTCTATCATCACATCTCTGTCCACAACACTATCACTGCTATCAATGATAGACAATGAATGGTATGATAATAATATTGCAAAACGACTCTTTGAATGCATTGTCTTAAATGGATTTGTCTTTTTGGTCAGTCTATCATCACATCTCTGTCCACAACACTATCACTGCTATCAATGATAGACAATGAATGGTTGTGTTTGCACTCATGAGTGAACATTTGTCTAATTGTTAACTAAAGTTAACAGTTATGTGGTTGTTGTGCAAGTTTGCGACCACTGTTGACCACTATTAACCATGTGTTTGTCACTCATTCATAATGTGTGAAGCGATCATATATTGTCTTTCATTTAGTTGTTATAATTGAAACGATTATTAATTTTGTAACTTTAATCATATTTTGTAATGTCTTTGAATTTAGTGCTCAATATTGCTATTCAATTACGTGATCCTCAAAGGTCTTCACTCTTTCATACAATTTATATTCGGATCACAAGAAGGAGTGGTTTCGATGACATGGTTTTGGTTGGAACCGACGCTTTCCTACTTCTTCTCCGTCTTTTGGGTTTTGCCGCTATTTCTGTTGAGTCGTGTCGTCAATGCCTTATGGTTTCAGGTATTGATTTAATGGTTTAATTAAACAATATTAAGATGTGATGACTTTGCAGGACATCGCGGACCATGCTTTCAGAGGTCGACGTCAATCAATGAGGAATATTCCTGTCTTTATAGCCGACACTCTTTTCAGTCTTTTGGTTCAAATATTATTTTTAATTCAGGTATCAATTAAAATGAACTCAATTTTTATATTAAACTATAATTAAATTACAATTATTTTGTAGTCAATGGTTGTTGAGTTTATTCCGATCCCATTATTAGGCCAAATGGCGAGTCTTTTCCACATCAGTCTATTATATTCTTTATACTCATTTGAATACAAATGGTTTAATATGGGTTCGCAATGATTAGCCCTTTTATTGATTGTTGAAATGATTAACCAAATAATTGATTGCAAAGGTTGGGAATTACACCGAAGACTTCACTTCATCGAAAACAATTGGTCGTATTTCTTAGGGTTTGGATTACCATTGGCTACGGCCACGTATTTGATCCCTAATTATCTGCTCAGTGGAGCCATATTTTCTATATTTTTCCCACTTTTCATCATCAGTGCTAATGAAGTCCGATTTAATCGCGAAAACATGTGGTCAGTTCTACACAGGTGTACACATTAGTCAATGTTATATTTAATCAATTGATATGTTTTATAGTAATATACAAATCAAGATCTTCTCTCCCGTCGTTTGGCTCTCCAATAAGATATTGTTTTTAATATTTAAATCCAATATTTTTGCAAATCGAGGTCATAGGTAGTGATGTATCGACTATAAGACGAATAGATTTGATCTATAAAACCAACGTTTGTTTAAATTTGTTATAAATATGACGCGTAAACCACTGCCAGTAGGACTCTATAGTTATGATATTGTTGTGAATGATATAAACCATGGCTTATAAGTTGTGTATATAGAAAATACAAATATTTATATTATAAATATTGCATTTCATTAATAGCTTTATTGTAATTACAATTAATTGATTTCAAAGAATTTATAAGCAATGGATTTATAGGGTATAACAAATACCCGACTCAATGAGAGTTCCTATGCATTCGTTTACGGATAATAAGTGTTTACGAATTATTTTTATTACGGTTTTAAAGATTATAAATCTATACGAATATTTGAATTGAAATTTAAATGATAATTATATGAGATTTGATGTTATTTTGAATTTTGCCATCAAATGAAATAAATTCTAATTAATGCAAGAATTTATTATTAAAAGCGATTTTACAGAAAAATTATGTAAATTAAAAGTAAATTTATAACAAATTAATAATTAAAATATGAATGTTTCTTAAAATGTTTAATTAATTCATTAATATATCTAATTATAAACAATATTCAAAATTAAAATACTATTGATATGAAGAAAAAAAATTGCACTAAAATTTTTTGAAACCTTTCATTCAGTGAATTGAATGCAAAGGCATTAAGAGTTGGTTTTCATTTTTTAAACACAATTTTTTACTCGAAATGTGATATAAATTGAAAATGAATTGTAATATAATTTCAAAAGTTGTTTAATTACTAACTTATTTGCAGATTGTTTTCCATAACACAAGACTAGATTCACTTTAAAAATATTTTTACAATAAAATTATATTTATATTTGTATACAAACTGACAGATCATAGCTATTACTGTTATATGAATTTAACTTAAATGTTAGTAAATATATTTCATTATATTCTTTATTATCATAAGAATCAGAATCAGAATCGTTTAAAACTGAAGAATTGGACATAATTTGGAAAAAACTGATTGCAAACAAAGCTAAGAATTGAAATCGTAATCAAGATATAGAAAACAAACTACAAATGTGTTAAAGTGTTGTTTATTGTGTCAAATCTCAGACTCTGATTATTGCTTTATTCAAACAATCGTTCGGTTTTTAATGTCAATAATAGTAATGTCTTGACGTCTTGTGAAGTGATTTATAGCATAAGTGAAAATAAATGAAATGTAGTTATAATTATAATATAATACAACTTTGTTTCCACTCGTGATTATTAAGAGAACAGAATTTGTAGAATTGTTTATAATTTTAATAACTAATTCAATGAGCAATCGATGCAATGCTGTTACCGAAACAAACAATTACTTCAATACTTAATCGCAACAAATTCTTGCTGTCATTAAGCGCTAATTAATTATTTTAATTAATAACTAAAATATGAATCATAACTGCATATAATAGAGTCGAAGCGAATTCAATCTAATTGACTGTCAATCGGTGTCTGTATTTACGGTAATATTAGTATACATATGAAGTAATCTATGGATAACAGCGCTGCCATACAATCATTTATAGATAAGTTGTTGTGTATAGGCTATCAAAAATTAGACCAAACATTAACTCATAATAACAGACATAAATTGCAAAATAAATGCTTAAAACTATTAATTGGATGTATAGTAAGTTATGCTTCAAAACTTTAAACCACAACTCAATGCAATCCTCTGGTAATACAAATCGGATTGCGTTTAATGTTTGAACCAATGATGAGTGCATTAAAACAATTTAAACTATGTTTAAAACCAAAATAACTTTACGAATGGTTTCTATTGAAATAAAACTATAATAAAATGTCTATAAATCAAAACCTAATCTAAAATTATATAATTATATAATTATTAAACACTAGAAGCCGTCGATTAAGAGCTCGAAGTGAACGCTACCCTCTCTGTCCATTCGGTCGTGTTTGATATTCTTAGCCCAAGCCTTGCACTCGATGTTAATCAACACTCCGGGGGTCGGCTTCAAGAAGTGGATGAACACAAATGGCGACAGATATCCGGGTTGGTTAGTGAACGGGAAGTACTTGAACTCAATCCCATTCTGCGGGTAGTAGTGAATCGGTCCGATGTTCTCCTTGTCCGCCGCGTTCTGCACATGTGTCCAAACAATCAGTCATAACAATCAATCGCAACATATATGCATCGGATCCTTACCTCTCCTTCGCATGTGATGAAAACCATTTTGGATGAGTTCTTTGCGTAACCGTTTCTCACCTCATCAGGAATGGCCGCATTAGAGGCCAAGTCATCGCGTGAATAGGGTTCGGGCTGCCAGTTGTATATCTATACACCAGTAATGGGTGTCATATATGCGTTAAAATCATTCTTTTAGAACTCATTAATTATAGAAAAGCATTACTCGATTCAGTTTAATGAGAACACAGGGATCACCCCTTTTGTAGCCAAAGTCCTGGCCTTTAGTGCAGTTATTATCGATGGTCTTAATGTCAAAGAAGCAGAACTTCTCTGAGTTGGATGTCTTGTCATTATCTCTGCACTGCTCGACGTGGGCTCCCCTGTCAGCGCTCGCATCGGTCGCCTTCTCATACGCTATCCATTCAATCAATTATTCATTAGTTTCTCGTCAAAGGTGTCAATCAATTGCATTCAAATGAATGGATCGATAAAAATGGCAAAAATAATCTACAATTGTACGTACGCTCTAAGAACTTAACAAGATTATCACTCCAGTGTTTCCAGTTGTGTTCATTCTGTCCCTGTTTGAACCAAATCAGAGTACTTTCAACGTTCTCCTCACGAGGACGTGGTCTGAAGCCCAGTCCTGTTGTGATACAGCCGTAAGTGATGTGATTGTCAATCAATAGACCGATGGATGCATACCTGGATTGGATCCGATGCGACTGTCGCCCAATTGCCACTTCGGGACGCGTTGATCAATGGTTTGATAAAATATTAATAACATTAGGGCCCAGAAGGCGGCCAAACATAAGTAGAAGATTATGTAAAATATGAGGATTTTTACTGCAAAATAATTCAAACATAATTGCAATTAATTTTAAATTCATTTCAAAGTAACAATAATTGTAAAAATAGCACTTTTTTGTATCCATTGAGTTATAAAATGCAATATTTATTGCAAATCATGCGAAGACTCATTTGATTTAATCTATAATTTAATGACTTTTTATTTAAATTAATTATACATTTCATTCATTTCAAGGCAAGTGTAGTAACGAATGTCTAATCATTAATAAGTTATCATAAAATAAAACAAAATTCTAACTCATATTATATATAAAACATATAAACATGTATTCAATTGTAACCTCAATATAGACCTCAACATCGGTTACGCTTTCATTTCATCTAAAGCTTAAATGCATTTATATTTGGCTCTAAATCTAGACTCAATGGCTCTCTTCGGGACTCAATGGACACAAAACAATATATGAGACAATGGTATGAATGAAAGGGCAGTGCAAATGATAGGGTACTGACGCCATGAGCTGCCGGTGCGGCCACAGAACTCGCGGGTCCGACGATTCCAGAGGAACTGCACTATCGATTCAGTGGTCGACAACTTCTCCTCCGCTTTGAAGAAATTGGTCTCCTTTTCAGACATTTGCACTCAAAACACACCAAAACACTAAATGTACCACAAATTGGATCAATCAATGGATCAATTGATTCAATGGATGAGACACTCAATGAGACACTCAATGCAAACAATCACTCAATGCTTAACAAATGTCTGTAAAGCCTCTCAATGTCTGTAATGTCTGTCCTTTCACTCCACACACACTCTCTCTTCACTGAACGTCACAAACGGCTAACCAATCAGACAACAGCTCTACAAACTCTGCCCGAACGTCACACCAACACTACCGCTGTGTTTGTGTCGTACACTGTATTCACTGTATTATTACTAATACTGTATCGCAATCTAAACTCACACCAAATTTCAGTTGATTTGATTCACAAATCGTACGAAATATAGCACTCGAGTCCACACATCCATTCATGTAATTTGTTGTCCATTTCTCGTCACTCGTATTAATGTATACTATTGTGGTGTTAGACTGTATGCACTGTCCATAACAGTGTGTGTATTGAGAAATAGTTGTCAATTAAAGCGACATTAGAGGCAATCAATTAACAAAACATTAATGGCATTCAAATATTAATACATAATATACTAATCCTATAATACTCTGCAATTCAGGTAATTTTAGTCGTCTATAAGCTATACTCCAAAGTCGATCGAGTCGTCGCTTTCAAGCAATTTTTAATTAAAAAAAAGTTTGAAAAGTTGTCTTAACTCTGGCTTAGCTGTCAAATAGTGTATAACATAAAGTGGTTTTGCCTGCAGTGGGGGTTGAGGTGGGGTTTGGGTGAGGTTTGGGGTG